GTATCTTGCAAAACAGGTAGAATTTAGGAGTGGGTAAGAACCCCTAAAATTGACTTTTTTTTTTTAAGAGGGATTTTTTCTTTTTAGGAGATTTTGGAAACCAAATCTTGCATAAATATAATGTATTCCATATTTAGAATCTTTGTCCTCAAGAATTTTGAAAGCATTGGTTTTTGCTTAGGGGATAAATGATTATAATAAAACAAGCCTTGGATTCATTATCATTTATCCCAGACAAATAAGAAAGCTTGCTTTAAGATACACATTTAAGGACAGAGATGCTATCTGGCTGTGGCATTCATTGAACTAGGTAGGTCTCAATATGATATATTTAATTTCATTTTCTTCATAAAGGGATTTGAGAGATTAAGCAGGGAAAAGTATATTCTTTTTTAGAAATAAGGAATTTCAGACACAGACTAAAAGGCAATGTGGTTGGTAAGTGTCAGTGAGAACCAGAATCTATTTGTCTAGTTCTTTGGTTCATGTTCCTCTGTGGGTTCTTCTTTGTCCCTCTACCTGGGTGCTTCTTGCAGTAATACTGAACACAGTACCTTCCTTTTCACTTTCCCCAGTCCACGCACCCTGCGTGCTGTTGGAAGCCACCTCTGAGAGTCCACTAGTGTTTGGGAATGCTCAGGAAACCCCCCTTCCTCATTCTTCACAAACTTCCCTTTAGACCACAGCTCCACAGTTCCCKCTGGCTGGCTTTGGCCTGCATACTGGAGCTTATCCTAGATTTGGACCTGGTAGGTGAAGCGGTCCTTCTCAGTGAACTTCAAGTTAATGTTATCTGCTCCTCAACCCTGTGTTGTTTCCTGTAGGAATTTCCCTCTCTACCTCCTGTCCCTAAGAAACTACTCTGCATTCTAACCACAAGGGTGTGTTCTCTTGCATCATTCTGCAGACTGGCTGACATCTAGTATTCAGTTGGCAAGCATTTATTAAAGGAAAGGCTCAACAATACAAATAATCCAGACTTCTGAGGCCTCATCCAGCCTCATTAATTAATTGAAATTTCAACTAATTAATGAGACTTTATAAATTTGTGGTCTTCATATTACTTAACTGTCAAGTGGAATAATGCCACATATTAACTTYAGTGCGATATTATATGTACACCTAATTATAATCTTACCACTCCTTAGAAGAAAGCTGTTGCAAAAATTCAGCTACCAAACCAGTGAAGATATTTCCTATATATTAGCAAATTTCAAAAGCTTACACTATTTTCAGTAGCGACAAAAGCAAGCTGTATTTTAATGCTAGGTAGCTCAGTAGAAAAGGTGTTTTCTGCTTTAGGAAATGTAGCTATCCATTTCTGCTTTAGGAAATGTAGCTATCCATTTTCTTTTTATTTGTCTGTGGTATTGGGGATCAAACAAACCCAGGAAGAACTTCATGCATGCTGGGCAGACACTCTACCACTGAGCCACATCCCTAGCCCAACAATCATCCATTTTCTTAAAAGTGGCTTTTAAAAAGGGATGATGTGGGGTTTATACTTAGGTAAGAAAAAGTCATCAACAAATAACTGTGAATGAGAATGAGCAAYGAGTAGGCACCAGTGAAGTTACAGAATATCCCAGCAAAAGTGCCAGAAAGAGGGCTGGGGACATAGCTCAGTTGGTAGAGTGCTTGCCTTACCTGTACAAGGCCCTGGATTCAATCCTCAGCACCCGCCCTCCAAAAAAAAAAAAAAAGCCAGAAAGAAATTTTGGGAGGTATGAGGAAGAGTGGAATAGAAATGATGCCCTCACAAGGGAGGGTCCCAGGAATAGAGTGTGTGTGATTTTCTTGTGAGCACTAAATTTACAGTGTCTGTGCTACTTGGTTGCTTCTGGCTAAGAAGTGATATGTGCATACATGTCAYGATAGCCCTTAGTAAGTGTTTTCAGTCTCAGAACAGTGGGTTTTATTGTTTTATGTATTTATTTGGGGGTGCTAGGGATCAAACCCAGGGCTTTGTGCATGCTAAGCATGTATTCCATCACTGAGCAACACCTCCTGCCCTCAAGACTGTTTTTTTAATCCTTTCAACTTTACTTTTTGTTTTAAGGTGAAAAATACTCAATCCAAAAGTCAAACTATATAAAATACATCCTCAGAGAAATCTCATCCCTCCTTCCACCCCACTCAGACTCCAGAGTAAGCATGTTCATTAGTTTTTATYGTTCACTCCCTGATATTTTTTTCTGTAAAAAGCCAAATGTACCATTTTCCTTTTTCATAGAGGATTGCACAAGGTGTGCACCCTTTTGCATAATGTGGATTCACTTGGAAATATCTTGGAAATATCTGGGGTCTCTGAGAACTGCATTCTTTTGGGCTTCATAGTACTCTGGAATGTGAGYGAGCTGTCGTTTATTATTCAGCCTTCTCTGAACAGGCATTTGCCTCATTCCTAGGATTTTGACATTAGAAATAATGCCACAATAAGTAATCCTGTGCATWTGGTATTTCATATTTGTGAAGAAGGATCATAAGCAATTAAAGAGAAATACATCARTAGTTTTCCTGACATTTTTGTAAATGTCTTTACCAATAGCCATGTCTGAGAATACCTAGGAGTTGTGCTGCATATATATAACAGTTCAGTGCATTTATTGAACACCCACATACATAAATTCAAATACACACYCTACACACACACACCAGAAGTGCAGCTGAAGGTCAAAAAGGTGGAGGCTGGAAGAATGTACTTTCCTTAAATTTCTTAACCTACCAACGACAGAGCTGGGAGTACCATAAGTTCTGAATGTCTTCCTGTGCCTGTCTTTCTGCTATCTTGTAGTCTTAGAACAGTGCTAGGAAGCTGGAGCCAAACAAAATAGGCTTCTCAGGGTAATGTTGGTTAGGCCAGGAGAAACAATGCCAAAGGGGTGTTTATTTCATTATTATATAAAAAAAACTTTGAGCAAAATACCCACCCTTTTCTGAGCAGGACACTCACTAAGGGTTTAAATTTGTGACATGGTATTCCTAACATTCACACATCTAGAGAAAATGTAAATTCAGAAATGCAAAAGTACTTTGAAAGAAAAAATCCTTTCTAAAGTTCAGTACATCAGTTCTACGTTTTTGGCATCTGAAGAACAGGGGGACCTGGGGCTGGTCAATCAAATTAGTGACCACTTTAGATTAGGGAACTCTTGAAAGGGAAATTCCAAAGCAGGCAACGCTGGAGGCAGGAGTCTTTATTTCTCTACATAGGTTTTGGCACCACTGACCCTTGTTCTTTGGCCTGTGGACTGAGTCTCTGCTGAGCTTTCCACAGGAGCAGCCAGYGCTACAGGAAGGGAGGATTTCAACTAGAGTTCTGATGTTCCCTGACCTTTGGGGCCAGCAGCCATTAGGAGAACCTGTTTCCTGACTATGGCAAGCTTGAGCATCAAGTTCCAAGAAAGTTTGCTTCTGATGGAAAATAAAGTAGACCCATTTAAAGTGACACATGGAAGAAACACCCCGTCTCCCAGTTTATYACAGAAGACTCTGGTGAAATGAATTGTAATTTGGGGGCAGAGACCTGAAATTGCTCTTCCCTGCCAAAATAAATTGATTTCTTCGGCTGTCTAAACTTCATTTCTTGAACTGGACAGGAGCTCACCTCAGCTAAATTAAACTCATTTTCCATTAATAAAAACTGGGTCACTCTGGACTGCTTGAGTATGYTTCTGAGTGTCTTAAAGCACATTCCAGAAAGCCTAGTGTTTCAATGCTATTTTCAAAACTCACCTAATTTAGCTAGCATAACCCATAACGTTTGCACACACCTCTCCCTTGGTGTGCTGCTATAGATTTGGGGTCTGTTTCTAACTTCGTTATATCTGTCAGTCAGGTCGTAGCAGGAGGGCATCCTTACACACCTAGTGGGGCTGGAGAAAGGCCAAAGGGATGGACCGGCTGCCTGCCTACCTTGGGCCCCTGCCTTGCCCAAAGAAAGCTTGGTTTTCTCTGTGCCTGTTTTCTCTGTGCCTTTGTTTTCTCTGTGCTATTGGTAGTGTTGCTCTACAGTATTCTGGAAGTTTTATTTATACCTAGGGGCCAAGAGACTGGATCTTAAAGGTAGAAGTTGTACAGTATAAAATAGATGCCATACGTGGAGCCATCTTAGAAAAGGTTTATTCAGGGAGGTCAAAGCATTTCTGATTTGAGATCTCCCTGAGCAGTTGGTGACATTGGCTTGTTCTTAATCATTGGAGGTGGGTGTGAGCCACTAGGGTGACATCTGGTCTCCTACTCCAAGGCTTGTGCATATTCAGCTGCCCTACCTTTTTGTTTAGAAACCCATCTCTATAATGTCAGGAGTTGGACTTATTARGAAAGCCCATTGTTCCCTCTCCCACCTTGCTCTTCCTGCAACTGAGAGAGGGCCTAGGGTGGGCCTCATGCGGGCTGSCCATGAATCCTGACTTACACCATCTGGAAGATATAAATCCCAACTGTGGGGTGAATAGTTTAAATAAGGCATTTGGGATATTGAGAAATATAAAGATCTAGAAATATTAAAATAGTGGGAGATGTCTTTCAAATTAAAAAAATGAGAGGGGGATAAAAATCTTTGTAATACTTTATTTCATGCATTCTTTACTAATCTGAAGAATCATACCATGTAACTTTTTAAAAATGGGACTKGAGGTATAGCTTAGTAGAGTGCTTGCTAGCATCTGAGGCCCTGGGTTCAATTACCAGCACCACAAAACAACAACAAAATTTACCTTTCTACCGAAATAGTCACAGTATTTAGAAATGTGGAAAGCCAGATAAATAATAGGAAAACAAATGCTTACCCCTGTTTTCCTTCCTTTTTWAAAAATTTAAATGAATAGTCATGAGAAACAAGGGTGGGTCTCTCTTTAACTTTTGGCCTGCCCTGATTGATCACTCCAGATTTTCATGCTTTTAAGCTATATTCTCCTCCTTCCTTGTGTGTTTGAGATCTTCTCAACAATATGCAAGTTACTCACCACTGACAAAGTTTCTCTTGCTTCTGTTTCTAGTGCACAGAGGCCAAAAAACATTGCTGGTATTTTGAAGGACTCTATCCAACATATTATATGTAAGTATTTGCCTCTCTGTTGATTTGAATCTGGGGGCATCTCTTTTTTTCTGGGAATTATTTCTTTAATATGTAGTTGCCTGGGTTATGGGATGGGGAAAGCCCAGGCGTGGCCCAACCTCCACCCCAGGATTTAGCCCTGCCTGTGCTCAAGTAGAGCAGGTGGCCTCCCTGAGGGCATTCAACCTGCTCAGACCAGTCACTCTGAGCACATGAAATAATACTACATGCTCTGTGAGGTATCTGAGCTCCTCCTAAATGAATGGTAAAAAGGTGCAAGGTGTTTTTGGAAGGCAAAACTTATGTTGGTTTATATTTTCCTAAGCCAAGGGAGAAGAACAATTGGAATAGATTTATGTCTTGAGCAAGACAAGAAACAGTTTTCAGCTGAGCTCATGTAGTATGTGCACTTGTATGGGGAGGAGGGGTGAAAGAGAGAGAAGAGAAAGAGAGCCAGAGAGAGAGAGAAAGAGACAGAGAGAGAGAGTGTGTGTATGTGTGAAAGAGAAATCACAACTTCATCTCCCTCAAGCCACGCCCTAGACAGGTGCAGCTGTAGCTCTGCTCTGCATAGCTCTCCACTCAGGTGGCAGGGACTGTTCCTTCCCGTGCCCTCCTCAGTGTCTGTCAGGCTTGCTCTTATGAAAGTGTGCTGGGCTTTCTCCCTACTACTATTATTAATATCTGCTGGGTTAGTCACAAACTCAACACAGCCACCTGCCTAGGTAACTGGATTACCTCTCCAGGATATCAATTACTGTTTTTGTTTGTGTTTTGAAGTTCCATAGGTTTTGTGTGGACTGTTCCAAATCAATTTTTRCCAAAAGCTCTGATATCTTAATTTAATTCTGTAAAACATCAGATTTTTCAATAATATACATAAACTATATTATAGCAGAAGCACAGTACACTCCAGTATATAGACTAATTAGACAGGAAATGCATACTACAGCCAGCCAGACACAGGTTATCCCCAAATTGCGTCTATTCTAAATGTATAGACTTTTTCCCTTGTCATTTTCCCCTAAACAATAGAGTGTAACTACTATTTACATAGAATTTGCATCATATTTGGTATTATAAGTAATCCAGAGATGATTCAGAGAGATATGCATGAGCTCTGTACAAATTCTAGGGTATTTTTTACGAGGGAGTTGAGCATCCTTGGATTTTGGTATCTGCAGGGGTACTGGAACCAATCCCCTTAGGTTTCCGGAGACAACTGTAATAACTAAAAGTGTTGTTTCTTAATTTGTCCAGGTTGTACATTGTTTTCTGTTATTCTTACCTGTCTAGGGAGACCAATCTGAAAGGAGGAAGGCTTCTGCATATRTGAAGCACAAGGAAATTGGCAATGTCTTGTCTTGGTTTCATACTGAAAAGCAGGAGTCCTTAACACCCCACGTTGCAGGGGTCCTGGCAGAAAGCCTTTGCAATTGTAGAAAGACAAAACCCACTTGTAAAATAAAGTAGCAGCATAAGGACTTTGATTCTAATTACAGAGCTATCAGGTTGAAGAAAAATTGTTATGAGATAACAGGGAGATCAAATATTTTGTTTCTTCTTTGTTTAATGAATATCCATTAGTCAGCCTTCTTTCCTTGATTCAGCTTCTTGCATCAAGGTGCATTACCTGCTTCTTCAAATGTGTTCTTCCTTGAAAACAGATATTTCTCCAGTTGTTTTGTAGATCAATTTGTGAGAGTCAGCAGCTATTCTTATACTCATTCATTTGTTTCTTTCTTTATTTTTACTACATATTTTGAGAGTATTTTTGCATTAAGAGAGAACACAAAGTCCTGCTTTCATTATTCAGACCTGCTGCTTTGGTTTCCTTTCCTCTTCTCCAGTGGTGAGAAGGATCCAGATGTACTATCTCAAAAGATGAAAAGTCAAGTCACTTTAATGATTTAAGATACTGACATTAAAATACTGACACTCAACATAGAAATAATAACAAGTAATACTTATTGCACCTAATATAAGCTAGACATACCCTAGACTTGAATTAATGCCATTAATCTCATAGCCATTGGAAAACCCAAGCCACAACCACTCGTCCTCTTGATTCTACCTCTGATCTTCCTGTATTTATAGTGCCCTCATTTGAACCCAGTCCTCTCTAAATGCTCATGTGAACCAAACAGAAAGTTTTGAATGCATCTTCTCTCCTCCAGATCTCATATCTTCTAAATTTTCATGTTCCTTGTATGAATACATACACGGACAAAGTTTAGCTTGATCTTTCTTTCTTTCTTTTTAAAATATCTTCTTTCTTTATTTTGAATTCCATCAGAGCTATGACTTACACTTTTTGGAATTTCCCGTGCCTAGAATAGTGCCTGGCACATTCCTAAATGTTGAGGCAATGCCTGTCCCTCCAGTCCCCACTATGCACTCAGCAGGTGACTTTTTATTGAAGTCTTCCATGATTCAGTTTCCCTTCCCTTAAGTCAGAACTTCTTCCTCCTTCCCCATTTGGCTCTGATATAGCACCCTGAATAGTCCTCACTAACACTCGTCGAACACATGGTGTGTCCCCTGAGGGCTCCCAGGAAGTGGCAGTGAAATGTAAACATTTTACATACATAACTTTGTCCAATGCCTGACACAAGTCAATGTTTGTCCTCTGATTTGTGCAGCTTTCTATCCCTGTTATTATTTCTTATATTCTGGTATCCTTTCCCTAAGCATAGATTTTAAGTAGGTAAAAAAGATCCGAACTCAAATTATTTGCTCAATTTTTTTATTTGAGGTGAAACTCAGCAAAATTAACCCTTTTAAGGTGAACTATGTAGTAGCACAGAGGAATATCCTCTGTACTACTGTTCACCACCTCTATCCAGTTCTAAATAGCTTCATTACTTCATCCTAGTATTTACCAGCTCTTTGACCTCATCAATTTCCTCCTCTCTAAAACGTGAAGACAAGTTCTCACCTTCTGGATCATGGTCAAAATTGAAATCACATGTGAATAGCTACATACTTAATGCTAACATACATTTCTACTGTGTAGGTTCATGTGATTAATTCTTCCACAGACTAAATTTGCTACTTCTGTGCACATTTAAGGAATGTCAGAGTCCTGATATAACCTTGAGCCCATCATGATGCCAAGAAGAAGAGCTACTTAACTTCAGGCAACCAGAACTTGGGATAGTTAACACTCAAAAGCTGTTCTCCCTGATCTCTAACAAGTTGGATAATAAAATGTTTTTTATCCAAAGGAAGTAAGGAGAAATTGCTTCCATATCAAAGCTGGTCTTGCCCAAGGATAAATTTGCTGCAGGTCATGTGGTCGCCACCGAAGGCTCACAACGCATACTAGAAGTGCTTGGGACTGCAGAAGACATGGCTGTCCAATTAAGCCAATTCTGGGGATTCTGTGGAGTTGAACCAGACATGGGTRCAGGTAATGGAAGACTCCTAGCCAGCCTGCACTCACCGTGTTGCTCAGCACCAGGACAGGATCAAGCCTCTCTCTGGACTAGCGATCTGTTTTCTTTACACTGCCCCTGACCTGGCCTCTCTACACATTTATGTGTAAGGTGCTCTCCTGAAGCAATGACAGCTGCTCTTCATTCTCTCAATCCCAAGTATTTGTTGAGTGTCTACCACATGTCATTTGTGTATTGCTGTGCTATACAGGACAGGGAAGGTACTTGGGCCTCAGGGTTATGGTGTAATACTGTGAGACTGACTAGTTATTTCTGAAGCAACTCAAACATTACATTTAAAAACCTACAAGTTATAGCAGATCTCATTTTAAAAATACATTTCCAATGTATTATTCCTTTCATTTCTTCTGGGTAAAGTGCTTTATATAAGATTCTCCAAAATGGATAATTCCTTAAAGATATGTTGATTCAAGTTGGCATCCTTCCATGCTGTTATAGATTAATTTTTTTCCCATGCAGGAAATATATTTCAAATAACACTGCTGTTTTGTGACTGTAACTTACCATGTAGAATTCATTGGGGGAAAGAACATCTAGGTTGCAAACTTGTCTTGGAAACTTTGCTTTTATATTTGAAAATCTAATTTCTTTTTGTCTCACCAGAAATCCCATCTGACATTCCTCCTTCTTGCCTCTCTGCATGTCTCTGAATTTCATTTCACTGTTCTAAGCTCATAGAGGCTAATTTTTTTTTATGATACTTAAGTTTCCATTGGAGATACCTAGACATATATCACTCTCACCTGTTCAGATTTTGTTATGTTAAATTTATCACTCTGTCTGCCCTCTCCTTAGCAAGTTTTATTTCCATTTGATATTTTAAAAGAGTTGAGCTGAGAGACTACATATGTATATGTACCAAAAAAAATCTTATTTTTAAAGAAAAAATTTGTCCTTTGGGATCCATAGAGAAACACATATTTCAAGCCTCTCTCCTCTTTTTTTTTTTTCTTTCCCTACTTTTCACTTCATAACCTTTCTTTTGAAAGCTCTTAATTAAAATGGAGTCTTTTTTTTTTTTTTTTTTTTGTACTTTGGTTCAGGGCTTACTAGATGTCTCCTCTTAGCAACAGTATGGTTTAAAAATAGCAACTGGTCATGTGGCCTCCCCAAATCCAGTTCCTTTGCTCAAGTTCTGTACTTGAGTTTTCCTTCCACCCAGGATTCCCTCACTCAACCCCTTGTGTGCAAGGCTTAGAACACAGTGTGAGCTGCCAAGAGGCAGGAGATGAGAAGATAAGGAAAGGCCCTGCCAAGGAGCACAGCCAAGGGCCCTGCAGGCATGGATCCAAAGGAGTACTCTTTCCTCCCCATCCAGAAAGTACAGCAGACAAAAGTGGCATTTATCAGAGAAGAGGCTCAATACAGTTTCATATCCGGGAGCTCACTTCCACACCCAGGTAGCTGCAGGAAGCACTGTGACCTTCTCTCTCATCATGCAATAGGGAGCTCCCACCCCTTGCAGGTTCTGCATCTGGTGCTTCTGCATGTGCAGAGCAGAAGCCACTATAAGGTACTATGCGTTCATATTACCTACCATCT